TGCTGTAGATATATGAGACATTATTATTAATGGAAATAATTACCCATTGCCACATGAAGAGAAGCACAAAGGAAAGACCTGAATGTAGCTAAGGTCTATTTTGCTGTGGGGACCATCTAGAAAGTTCTGGGTCTTGCTATATCAATTTGGTAAGAGATGGTATTTTCCAAATAGTAGGGTGAGACCCCCCCACTCATACCCTAGTGAGATAAGGTGGAGGAGGAAACTACAACACACAATTTCATAATGTTTCTGTAAAGTTAACCTTAGCAAAAAAAAACCTGATTATTCTGGAATTTGAGAAAAATGCTACAATTAATCAGCTTAACCCTTCCTAGCCAAGGATGTACCACAATGTGACTTTCTCATTGTCTGATGTTAATGTGTGTTTCTCAGCAGTCAGAATTTTCCTTAAGTTCTTTTTTCATTACTTAAACTTTTATTACGCAGTCTTTTAAATGAGTATTGTAAGTTTAAAAAGTGAATGACTATTTATTGCCTTTTTGGCTGCCTTTTTTTATGGACATAAAAATGAGAGTTATGTCTAAATTTTAAAATACATCATTCATCATGATTTTTTCTAGCAAAACAAAGAAACTAGTTTATCTAAGAATTGGTCGTTATTTTATTCAAGTTCAGTAACACGATTGATAACATTAAAATTATTCTCATCTGATTTTTCCTATGAATTTAGGCAGACTGTTGTTTTTTTTTTTTTTGGCAGACTGTTGTTTTATGTTAATTTTTATTAGTCAGTGTTTGCATAATGATTACTGCATGATGGGGAATCGCTACAGGTGTATAATACATACATCCACGTCATTTTTCACTCTCTTCTCCTCCCCATCCCCCCTCCTCCCTGTCTGGGTCCCCTTGCCTCTCCTGAAAGATCTGTTTCTCTGTTTCTTATTCTTTTTCTGCTCTCTAATTTATCTATATTTTGAGTTTATCATATAGGAGAAACCATGTGATATCTAAGCTTTTGCATCTGATTTATTTCCATCAACATCGTGGTCTCAAGGTGCGTCCATTTCCTACAAACCCTCAGAGTCACAGAAGGATTCTTTTTTTTTTTTTTTTTTTTGTACCAGAGATCAAACTCACAGCCTCACACTTGCGCCAGACAAGCACTCATGACTCACACAAACAGGGAAGTCAGTCCACTGGCCCTGTTCCCATGTGCCAGACTGGGGAGACACCTTGGGATGAGAGACCCGGCAGCAGACAGGCCCTGAGAGAAGTGTGGGAAAGCTTGGGCTGGAGCACAGTGAGGTTGTAATTTCACAACCTCGTTCAGTCATATTGGAAACTGGAAGCAAATAATTAAATAACACATAACATGCATCCCAAGTCATGTGAGACCCAGGATGAATTCTCTAGCTTAATTATTTGACAGGGAGAGGGAAGCCTTGAATCAGTGGATGAGGACTACGCGTGCAGCCATGGCCTGATGCTGAGGCCAAGGGGAGGGAAAGTCCAAGGCCCTGTCCACCACTGGCACTCAGAAGAGAAGCAGGACTCTGCCAGGAGATCGCCAGCACACTGGCAGCAGCTTGGGCTGCGGACAGGCTCCTGAGCCACCCTGCCAGCACTTCTCTTAGGAGTTTCAGACCTCTGTGACCAGCACTGGAATTTTCAAAGGACATGAGTAACAAAAGAAACCACTTTTCAAATATAAAATTCAGGGGCTGGGGATTTAGCTCAGCGGCATAAGCGCCTGCCTTGCAAGCAGGCGGTCGTGAGTTCGATCCCTGGTACCGATAAAAATGAAAAAGACAAAAAAAAAAAAAATATATATAAAATTCAAAAATAACTCAACTGTACCTGCAACTTGCTGGCTTTGTAAGAAAAGCATGAAAATTATCTGGGAAAATCAGGATACACTAAGGGAAAAGAAAGAAAAACAAAAAGATGAATTTTGGGATCTGGAGGTGTATTTAGTTCCGTCTGTCCCTTGTGCCTGCATTACCTGTATCACTGTAGCCTATAAATTCCATCTCTAACAGGGAGCACCAGGTACTTCGTGTTTGCTGAGCACCAGCTGTGTGCCAGGCACATTTCTATCAGTTGGGGAAAGAATAACAAGCAGAAAAAGCCCTTGTGCTAATGGAGCTTAAAAACTGAAGGAAGGTGGACAACTCCCATGTAAAGATATCAATACACACTGCGGCCCCTGGGGGAGCACTGTCTGAGGGGGGATGGGACGCAGTGGGGTGAGGGCTCCATCTAGCTGGGTAAGAGAAGCTGCTCCGGAAAAGGGATATTTTGAACGGTGCCCCCAAGAAGGTTGCAGGTAGAAGGGATCGGTGCACAGGACAAGGGGCAAGGCCATGGCAGCCTGGGGACCTACGTCAAGCCCTGAGAGGACAGCATGATTGGGACATTGAAAAGAGCAAGAGGTCTGTGGAATGGCTGAGCTGGAGGGGCAGGGAGAGCATGGGGAAGGGAACCCGCTGTGGAGAGCCGGGAGGGAAACCTTGGGTTCTTCTCTGGGACACAGGAAGTGCCCCGAGCCTTACCCTCATCCTGTCGCTAGGTAACCAATCGCATCAGTAGCTGTGAGCTCACACTTGGGTCCTTCCTCATCCATATTTTTACCTTGCCACAATATCTCATTTTCTTAAGCCCATAATGGGCCCTTATTCTCCTGTTAAAAAAATATCCTCCTGTCTAAAACAAAACAAAGCAGAATCAAGAAGACACTTGGTCAAATCAAGTTCAGGGCAGTCAAATGCATGTATGAGAACCTTTGAAGAAAGCAGATGGCATAACAAACCAGATGTCTGGGAGAGCTTCATGGAGGGTTTGATTACAAAAGCTGGACAGAGTTCAGGTCTCTTCAATACCCTGGAATTGGAAAATGAGGGGAGCAGGATCTGTCTACATAGGTTGAAGATTTGCAGCACCCTATCTCCAACTGCACTGGGAGGTGGTCTCCTCAGGAGCTAAGACTGCTTGCAGGAGGAATTAGTTCCAAGGATGTCACACTGGAGTGAGGTGGGCTCTTAACCCAACATGCTGGGCATCCTTGCAAGAGGACAAGAGACACAGAGACAGAGTCCCAGGGAGGACAGCCATCTGAGGACAGGGCTTAGAGTGCTGCAGCTATAAGCAGCGCCAGGCACTGCTAGCAAACATCAAAGCTGGAGAAGGCATGGAAGCATTTTCCCTGCAGGTTTCACAGACAGTGTATCCAGATTGCCAGCTGAAGCCTCCAGATCTGTGAGCCAAACAATTACTCTTGTTTGAAGGATTCCAGGTTACTATAGTGTTTACTGATTGCACTGGGTGTGTGTGGAATAGCCGTAGGAAAGAGAGGCAGCAGCCCTTCTACGTGTGTCCAGCAAATAGTCTTACCTGGGAAATGAGCACTCCGCTAGCCAGGCCAAGGGAAGAAACTCAGAACCCAGAGGTGGTTGGTTGACCCCAGGGGATCTCGACAGCATACAGAGTCTGGGCCAATTAAGAGCAGGAAAAATCAATGTCCAGCTCTCTGATGATTGCCTGGTAGCATCTTCCATTGGCTGGAGAGAGTCAGAAGGCAGAGGACAACTGGAGCCCTTGATGTGTGTCCCTCCCTGGGGTCACCCTCCAGGAGCTCACAGTCGACAAGACAGCACACGGAATCTAGAAGGGCAAAGGAAACCTCCCTGCCTCACATCCCACACTGTTTCGTGTCACCTTATCTTTCCCATCTCACTTCCATCCTGACACCTAGGACTGGGGCTGGCACCGTGTGTTTGCTCCTCTCGTCCTTCCATATGCTGTCATTGCCACTTTCTCCAACAGAAACCTCCAACCTCATCTTCCAGGCCTTTCTGGAGCTTTCTGTGATGCACAGGAGAAGCCACCCCCATCACTCCCTGGGGAGTCGAGGGCTCTAGGTTCGCATGCCCAAAATCTGCCCCATAGTCCAGTTAGGGATCTATCTTCTCTGTTTAATTGCAAAATTCTTCTGGGACTGGACTGCATTATAGTTGCCATTTATAAGCCCCAGAAGTACCAAAATGATACACATAAAGTGGACATTAGTTCACACTGGTTACCTTGAAAATAGTAAGTTTAGCATTGCAACAAACCGTAGGATGATCAGGTGTTCCCATGACACAAAAGTAAAAACTGAAACACCCAGAAAAGCACAGGCGAGAGGACGCAGGACGAAGATGTCCCTTTGCTCATCTAGTACTTTTCCCACAATTACGGGACAGATCTCACAACATCAAGAGTAAGAAAAACACTCAAATGTAAATGGATTTGGAATATGTCAATAAAAAGCTTTTCAGGATGCTTGCATATTGAGAATTTTTGTAAAAAATTTTTTTTGAGAAAATATTTTGAGCTTCTTGAGCTGTATTGACTCCACAGTGTCTGAGGAGCAGCTTGTGGTATTTAACGTCCCTCAGAGGCAGCTGGGTTCCCCCACTCCAACGCGGTAGCAGAGTGTTAAGAGATAAACAGATAAAATTATTTGCCATAATTTAAAAATAAATATAACTGAATGGCTTAGACTGCCGGCTCAGATTCTGTCAGAACCGTTGAATGCTCTACTATATTTGTCAAGTGCAAAATCAACATTTTATGAAGTCCATAAAGCAGGAGTTTCTTGTCTGTGTTATTTGAGAACATAAACCCTTTTCTGACAAGAGCAAAGAAATGCGTTTTCTCATGCTAAGCCTGTCTTACCCCTGAGGTAGTGGGTGCTGTGTCTTCCCATCGATACCTTACTGCTTGGGATAAGAAGAGAAATGAAAACCTTGACCGTCATTAGACTTCTGTTTTTGCAGCGCTGTATTGAAGAGTTCTCAGGTAAAATCATGAGCTAGGAGGACTCACAGAACTCAGCTCAGTAGTTTCGTTCAGTCTCGGTTCATTACAGTGAAAGGCTGCTGATGAACAGCTTCAGAGGACAGGATCCAGGCATGGTGCGGGTTGGCCACGAGAGGCAGATGTGGTGTTCAGTTGTCCCCTGTATGTGGACTCCTATGGGCTCTTGGCAACGATTGTATGGCAACCAGTGGCCATCCGGGAAGCTCACCCAGGCCTCAGCTTTTGCAGGGGAGGGGCAGTAATGTGGACAGAACTACCTGCCCACACAGGTGGCCCTGTTTCTCATCCTCCAGACCGCAAGCTGATCCAAAGACTGCAGGGCACTTCACTCACCACAGCCTTCGCTGCAGGCACAGACTGCAGGCACAGGGCTGGCTTGGGGCCCCCATAGACAGCCACTCCCCAGTGGAGCAGGCCCAGGCTACCTCCTGAAAGCCTCTCCTCACCAAGGTTAGTGCTTGGCTTTACAAGCGTGCTTCATGATGCTTTCAAGTTTCTAAAGACTAGCGTCTCCAGCTGTGGTTTCTATACAACACCTCCAATCTGCAACTTGAAGCCACACTTTCCAGGCAGCTATTTTTCATAGAGTCCTTAGGCCAAATGAAGTTCCTAAGGGTCTTCAGCCCAAGCAGCGGAACACCAGCAGTTTGCAAAGTGCACGACAAGAGTCACTGTGATCCCCATGGTGCAGTGCACTTGCTGAAGTTCTTCAGGGGACCTTGTCACTAGAGAAACAGATTTAATATAAGGTGTACACATTCATGAGGACCAACGAGTTTGGCATACAGTGGCTGCCCATGGCGTTTGGGTATGGAGGAGCTCAGAGGGATGCGTGAGTGCTGGAGACGGAAGGAGCCAGCCAGGGGCCTGGAGCCACTGCAGCTCACCTGCGAGTCCTCTCAGGAGGCTGAAGGTCTCCTGGAAGCCAGAAGATGAGCTCCAAGGTGAAGGTGAAGGTGAAGTCTGGACTCCTCCGAAGGACAGAAACAGACTTCCTCTTTCCTTTCCCTTTTATTCCATTCAGGTGCCAAGCCCATTGGTTGCTGACTCGCACCCAAGGCGGGCTACCTGTCTTCAATAAATCTCAGCCACACTCAGGACTGTGCTCATCCAATTTAGTTGGGTGTTTTTACTCAGACTGCTACAACAGTTTACTAACACAAGGAGTTTCCTCTTTAGGAAAATGAGAACAGATGAGCCATCACAGAACACAATGTTAAATTAGTGTCCAAGGAGACTGATAGTGAGTGTATTTTTTCCTTGTATTTAAAAAATTACCCATGGATTTTAAAAAAAAAATGATGCTACAAAGAAAAACATCACTGATTAGGTCAGTATATTCTCTCAAGCCCACTATGGTGACAGGATTATAAAATGGTGCTAATTTCTGTGATATTGTATGCTGAAAGCTTTCAGAGTATACCCACTCCTTTCTCCAAAAGTTAATTTTTTGGGCACAGTATCCTATTATACATTAGAAACGTGCACAATGGTTATGTTTTATGTTAATGTAATATATATTAATCATAGAAATAGTGTGTAGTTTATTCAAACTATAAATGCTCTAACAATATAATGGAAATGGTTGTTATGACATATTGCACAATAGGACACAGTCACACATCATAGTAAGGCCGGTGTAACAGAAAGGCTCCCCCAGCCAGGATACTTTAGTTTCTCTGTTGTGCAGGTAACAGTTCCTGTTCTAGTTCTGGCTGTTTCTGGTCTCTTAGAAATGGCTGGTCAGCTGGTCGCTGTGATGCGTAGCTGGTCCCTATGATGCACATTATATAATAAACCAATCCCTTAATCACAAGTCATTCTGCCTCTGTATTTCATGCTTGCTTATTTCATATAAACTGTAGACCACCAGAGATCAGGGTTTGATATTTTGGGATGATTCTAATCCATGCCTTCAAGATACATAAATCTGCCTCCAAGTCCAGGGTGTTGTTTGGTGTTTCTGCTCGCCACTGCAATAGTGTTGCAATTTCAAATATATTTTACACACAGATGCAAATGCAAGAATGAAAGCTACAAATGTGTGAAAGTGGTGTCAGCCGCTATTTGGGGGAACAGAGGAGGTTAAATTTCTTCCTTCTTCTCTCCACCCCTCCTTTTTTCTTCCGTATCCAATTTTGAGCCCTGCTTACTTTTGAAATATGAACAAATTATTCTGCTTGGTCCTACTGTGAACTAACTGCATGTTCAGGCTAGGACTGATAGTGATAGGAGAAGTAACACTGAGAGATGACCAAAAGCACTGACTATGCCAGCCCTGAAACTGGCAGCGGGTCTGCCAAAGCCGTCCCACTGCAGCCTGGTTTCTGGGAAGGCACAGTTCTTTGTGGATCAGGACATGTTGGAAGGGAGTTGGAACAGAAGGGGCAAAGCATGAGCAAACACTGTTGTGCTGTGGCCACAACCACTGTGTGTGGCCTGTCATCAGGGAAATGGCCTGAGACTGGAGAATAGTAACTTTGCGGTATTAGCTAAGTGGAATTTCTGGTGCAGTCACTATTTTCAATCAGCCACTTTTAAGGATAATCATCTTTTCAAGAGAAAAAAAATCCATCGGCTTCATGTGTTTGGAGGGAGACTGAGGGCAGAATCAGCTTTGCATGTTTTTAACTCATTTCCATTCTGCTGGAGTTGGAGGGTCCCAGGCTGCATGCCAGAGCCGGGGGCCTGGCTGTGTCGTCCGGCCAGGTCTGGGAGGCAGATGTGGGAATCTTCTGGTTATGTTTTGCTGTCACAAAGCCAGAGGGTCCTGCAGGGAAGAAGCCACAGCAAGGACTGGGGCATGGGCAGTCCACAGGAGTCCAAGGGGAGACTTCTGGCTGGTTTGGAGCCAAGCAGAGCCCTGCTCCTCCTGAGCCAGGACTCGGGAATGGAGAAGATAATGGCCGTGCCACAAGATCAAGTCCTAGGAACCCAGGCAACAAGCAGGGGCCGGAAGAGGCTCCCCTGTTACCTGATGCTTGGAGGGGTCTGACTTGCACACGTGTTGTGGGGACAAACTTCCTTCCCCTTTGCGGCATCCACTGTTTTCTTGTCTTTTGTCAGCCCGTGTGGCCTTGAAGGCGGATGATTATTCTTCACAGCCTCTGGAAAGAGCAGGAGGGCATGCATCAGGTGGTGCACATGGCGGCAGCACACAGGAGGGTTTCTCTTCCATGCCTGGAAGACAAGAGGCACTCGAGAGTCATCCCCAGAACCAGTGGTTGCCAGGAAACCACTTAGCCGCTGAGCAGCATTGAATCTTTTAGAGCAGAGTTCCCCATACTCGGATCAGATCCACAGCAGACATGGCATTTACAGCCAGGGCAGTCAGCACCCGGCACACAGGGCGGGGCTGTTCCGGGGTCACCTCTGCTAGTGATTGGGAAGACAGCCCAGAACAGCCCAAACAGCCCAATTGTGACTTCAAGATTAAACAAGTTTCACGCACTTCCAGCTCCTTCCTAGTACATGAATGTGTACACTGAATTCCTAAAAAAACCAAACCAAAACAAAAAAATCCTCGTTTCCCCAAAAGGCTCTCATTGGGCTTGGAGGAGCATGGAGTGGCTGGCACTTCCTGTGAAATCAAGCCAGGGTTAAGGTCTGTCGCGGGTTCCGGGTGGACAGGGTAAGGAGCGCCCCCATCCCGCCTCCAGGTCTGCGGTTTATCAAGGCGCTCCGGGCACCACACGCCCTTACGACCCCGGTGAAAACCCACCGAACGCTCCCGGAGCCTGAAGGGAGGAGTAGGGGGCCCGAGGCTTCCCCCCATGAACTCTTTAAATCCGAAACTGCCTCTCCGCACGTGCTCGCCGCGCAGCGGGGGGGAGGGGGCGGGGTCGCTCCTTGGGGCTTCGCGGGGCCGCGCGCGTCCGCGCCCGCGTGTGTCCGGGGCAGGGCGGCCCCGCCTGCCTGCGCGGAGCGGCCGCCTGCGGGGGGCGCTTTGGTCCGGGACGCGGGCGCGGGCAGAGGCGGAGGAGGAGGAGGAGGAGGAGGAGCCGCGCCCCGCGCCGGCCGCGAGGACCCGGAAGCACAAGCGCGCGTGGGGCCGCTGTCCCGCGCCCGCGGCGCCGGCTGGGGTCCCGGCTGCATGGGCCCCGGGCGCGCGGGCCGCGGGCGGCGATGGGCGAGGAGCGTGGCGGCGGCGCGGTGAGCGGGGGCACAGAACCCGCCGCCCTAGAGCGCGCGAGCAGCCGGGGGCCCCCGGGGCTGCGCGTGGGCGGCGCGGGTGGGCTGCGTGGGGCGCCCCTCGCCCTGAACCCCGCGTTCTGCTCCGTGTACTGCGTAGAGAGCGAGCTGCACCCCCGCGGCCCCGCCGCTTCTCCGGCCCAGCCGCGCCGCGCCAGCTCCCCAGCCTCGCTGCCTAGTCCCCGGCCGGCGCCCCCGGGCCCCGACGGCGCGGAGCAGGACTCGCACCCGGCGCGCGAGCCCTTCCCCACGGCCATCCTGGGCCTGGGCGGGGGCGAGGGCCCCCCCGCACCCCCTCTGGTGCTTATGTGCCGGGTGTGCCTGGAAGAGAAGCCCATCAAGCCGCTGCCCTGCTGCAAGAAGGCCTTGTGCGGCGAGTGCCTCAAGCTCTACCTGGGCGCGCAGGTAGGGATCCCCTGTACCCCGGCTTGGGGCCCCCCTCCGGTGTCACTCAATGTGTGTGTCTCCCCCATGCCTCCCGGCTGGACCTTGACGCTGCTCCAAGGCTCGGGGGTTGGGCGCTATCCCCGAAGGGAACGCGGTACCGGCGCCTAGCCCTCTGCTCCAGTCTTTTACCAGATTGCGAGCAGGGAGCAGACTGCCTTATGGGCCTGGAATCCCAGAGCCTAGCAGACAGCGGGCATACGGTAAATATTTACCGAGCCGGACCAGAAAGAGGAGGACTGCAATGGACAGGCCAAGCCTGTGAATCCGGATTTGTAAAATGTGTTCCCTTTATATGTTCCAGAGAAGTTTAGAAGTATTCCTTGGGTTCTGGCCCGCCTTGGAGTTCCTTGTCTGTATAGTAGAGTTGGGGTACTTTGCTCCCCTCCACGTTGAAGGCCAGCCTCCGGGGTACTTTATTGCTTTAAGAGAGAAACAAAACAGCAAACAGCAAAAAAAAAAAAAAAAAAAAAAAGGGGCTGGAGGTTTAACTCAGCGGCATAAGCGCCTGACTTGCAAGCAGGCAGTCCTGAGTTCGATCCCCGGTACCGATAAAAAGGAAAAAGACAAATAATAATAATAATAATAATAATAATAATAATAATAATAATAAAAACAGCAAAGAGCAAAACAGCAGCGCTGGGAGGCAGAGGGGTTGAACCCAGCGGCGGGGTGCAGCGCTGGTGGAACTCCCCCAGCAATGAGGGGGGGCAGAGACCTTGTTGTTTTTGTGTGTTTTCTTGGAAAGCCTGAGACACAGAGCCTCCCACATTCAGTGAGGGCGACAGCGGTCTTGCAGCCCTTTTCCGGCTGCGTCTGCATCACTGCCAGGTCTCCCCACAGCTCCTCGTGCCCTTTGATCCCTACTCTGATTGTCCCGGGCCATGCATCTTTCAAAACCTGGCATGGCCAGGTGCCAGCACCTGGGGGAAGCCTGCTGACCTCATCCTGCCACCACCGAGAGACTTTCAGAATCGGCTCCGTGGCTGACGTGCGCGAGCCCTGCTACGTGTCTGTCTCGCTCCCTGTCTGCACTGTGCCTTTCATTCCAAATCTGGACCTTGCGCTTAGAGCGTTGATCGCTGGCTGAAGCGGAGCCAGCAGGCCTGCTTTGCAGCGCTGCACCTCCGTGCTTTGTGACCAGTCCAGGCTTGGGTACAGAGTGAAAGTGTGTATTGTGTTGCCTGGGAGGGATGGTGATGTGCCTTTCAGGCTTTGTACACCTAGAACGGACACCTAGAACGGGAAGGATTGTCAGCAGCTTGTCATGGTCATTTCTCTGACCTCACCATCGAACAGATATGCTGCCCTCCCTGAGTGGGCGTGGGACACCCCGCAGTGTGGGCTTGGCTCCAGAGAAGTCCTGGGAAAACAGCTGGGTACACTTCACCTACAGAGTGGATTGTAAATGGAAACAGAGTAACAGTGCCTCTTTGCACTAAACTGTTAAATGCTGGATACAGTTATGGTGGGTTTGCTGGTTCAAGGAAAAGGCATTGTGGGCTGGGGACTCTGCCTTCCAGTTCCATTTCCCTAAGGTGGGCCCTGTCCCGGGGCAGTTGGCTCTCCCTTTGGTGCCCTAAATTAGTTTTAGGAAGTTAGCCTTTTAACGTGTAATTAAAAAAAAAAAGAAAAGAGAGAAGAAATGAGAGGAAGTGTAGCAAGGAGAGGTAATGACACTTCCCAGCAGTATTTGTGGCATGGATATTCCTGACTTTTCCCCCCAAACAATGGACAGAACTTTCAATAAAGGAAAAGAAAATAGACATTCTTCAAAATAAGGAGCAGCACTAATTGAGGGCAGGATGCCAGGCATGCTCCACCCCCGGGGATTCTGCACCTGCTCAGGGCCCCTGGCCCTGACCCCATGCTTGGGGTCTGTATTCAGATGTCACCTGTCTGAGTCGCTTCACCCCGGCGCCTGTGCCCATCTCTCTTCCTGCTTTTGGTTTCCTCTGAGCTGAGCAGCTCTCCTGTGCTCAAGCGGTTAAATTCCATGAAAACGGCTGGCCTGCAGGATTGCTTTGCTGCTGTGCCCTTAGCACCCAGCCGCGTTTGGCATGTAACACAGGAGCAGCCAGCAGCTACTGGTTTGGTAGAAAACCCGAGACTGTCTCAGAAACCCAGGGCAGGGATAGTGTTTTGCTTTGGCACTAAATTCTCTTCTTAGCTGCTTGATATTCAGGACAAAAACCTAAAGCAGACCAAAAAAAAAAAAAAAAGTTTGTTATTCAACTTGGAATCATGTGTTTTGATATACTTTCTTAGCTTGCAAAAATTAGCTTTTCTTCAGTCGCACAAATGCGTAGGCTTATGTTAGAATATTTTTGATCATACTCTCCATGCTAAGGTCTCTTCCTCTCAGGGTGCCTGTGTTTCCCTGTGGCTTGACTCTGTGCCTTGATTTCCTCATGAGTGAGGAGTAATTGCAGTGCAGTGATCTTCTGTAACCCAGCAGTGCCAGGGCAAAGTGACATCTAACTGTGTGTGTGTTTTGCTGCTTTACTGACCCACATCAAAAGGATGTAGTGAGTGCTGTCTTCCCTGTCTTAGCAGAATTTTCTTTTAAGTTTGAGAAGAGTAAATATGACAAGCTTCAACTATCAGGACTCCTGTGACCTTTGTTGTTTCAGTTTTGTTTTTTTGGCACTAGGAATCAATCCTGTGATCTTTTGAAGAAAAATCATATACTTAAAAACATACTGTGACTTTTTTCGCTATTTTTTGAGTTTGTGCCATCTGCTTAGTATCTTATTTAATGTCATTTAAGGAAATAAACTTGTCTCTATGAAACATTATATACTAGCATTGAAAATGCATATTAAATGCGAGTTGGAATATTGCCTGGTCAGATAAACATTCTTGTAAAAGGAGATGCTGACTTCTTTCAAAGAAGAGAGGAACGCAGCATTTCACGAGGCTCAGTCTTGGTCCATTTGTGCCAGGATCTGAAGAGATGCAAAGGACTGTGGGGCGGGGTCCTCAGTGTTTCAGTTTGGACCTGAGAGATTAGGAGGTGACTCATATAGCCTCATCTTGTTTTAGTTTGCAAAGAATAGTTCTTCCCCAGTTCATGCTGCGTGGGGCTGGGGAGCCCTGCTTAGTGACTGGATGGTGTCACAGGCAGCCTGCTGAGGATCCTGGGGAGGGGTGAATCGGCAGATTGGACCTCCTTACCGCCACGGTAGGAATGAAAAGGCCACTGTGCGCCAAGACGATGGGCATTATATTGGTGAACACCGCTCCGGTACACACATCCTTCGTCGGTGCGTGTGCCAAGCGCATTTCCAGCGACTTATGTCAGAGCACGCAGTCCCAGCAATAGCTGAAGCTCTTGCAGTGCTGACTTCCCAGCTGGTTTGGCCTTTCCTGCCTACTCCTAGGGACAGAGGTGATCTGTTGCCTTTTTTGGGTCACAGGATTCTATGGTCATTTCAGAAATTCTCGGCAAGGATGTTTCCTTGGTGATTTTGATTTAGGTAGGGAAATATGTTACAAATGTGACATATTCAGATTGAGCACTTGGCTACAAGGGAGCTGAGCACGATGAAGGTCGCAGCTGTTGTGTCTTTCACTGCTGTGCTCAAGCACCCCAGGGGCTGGCAGATGCATCGACAGGGAATGCGTGCACCTGTCCAGAGAGTATTAATAGAGACACAGGGCACATTGCTGCCTCCACTTGTGAGCAAGACAGCTGCGAGAAGGTGGTGCCCTAAAATGAGTACTCCTCTACAGGTCCTCAGCTCCGAGACCCTGGGTGAAAGCAAGCGGCTTTCTCTTCAACTCCAAGTCATCCAGTTCTTCCTGGGTAGAAGTGTAAACCTTTTTCCTTTTAAACCTCAAGCCGCCTGAATATTTTTAGGAACCATCTGATTCAGTATGAAGTTTGAATGCTGTCATCTTCACACAGGTGAAGTTACAGACCCTCTCCTGCTGGGTGTGATCTTGGTACTCCCCAATGTGTGAAGAATGATGTAAAACCGAAAGCTATTTTGAACTCACTCTATGAATTTTGAAAGTGAGAATTAAGGCAGTGTAAGCACCTATATTTTTGTGTGTTTGGGAGATGCAGCACTAGTTGGCTTCCTGCCTTCCTGATTCACACTTTTATTTTCCTCTCATTTCTGCACATCCTTTCACTTCCCTGACTTCTTCCTTTTTCTGCCTCCATGGCCATCTGATCTTCATGGTATTGGATTTGTGCACAGGAATCCTCTGTGGTGCCGAGCCCTGGGGCCAGCAGGTCCTGGTCACCCTGCTGCTAGGCTGTACCTTTCCAGCTCTTGGATCTGAGGCTGCACAGAGAATCCTACATCAGCCTCAAAGATCTCCAGTAACCTTACAAGTCCCACTGACCAGTGTTGTCACCTGACACCTCTCCAGTGTGATTTTCTTCCTCCTAGAGTGAAGCTCTGCTTTTGTAGTTGAAAGCTCTTGCTTATTCCTGATAGGAGAGACACACAGAGACACTCCTCGGAACTAGAACTCCCTGCTTTTTAGTAGGAGTTTGTGATGGGCAATACAGACAGGTCGCGGAGGGTGACTTCTTACCACTGGTTTCTGCACTTACTAATCTGCCATTTATGCACTTAAACATTTATACTGGAGCCAAGTAAGCCTAGCCCTTGAGATACTAGGTAGATGTAAGGAGCTGTCTTACAGATTTGTAAGTATTTTTTCCAGATTTTTATTTTTAAAAAATCTACCCCTTCTTTATATTTTCGGATCTCTTCATCTCTTCTGCATTCTTTCTACAAGGTTTTTATTAAACAGTTCTGGGATACCAGCTAACATTTTATTAACACAGTACTAGTCTTCCTATTATGTTTAGTTCAGCAAAATATTACTGCCTCAATTTAAAAGAAAACAAGCTTCTGCTAAAAGCTCATTTTGGATCTTTGGTGACAGTGTGGCAAATATTTAAATTGGTAATATTTTTGGAGGGTGAGGCACTGGAGATT